AAAATTAATGGGAAATAAAATATTATTTCATTTCACATTTGAGAATATTTTGCATTTTATTAGTTAACATTTGAAAAACAATTTTATTAACCATTTGAAAATATAAGGGACCCTATTTCATCCCAAGAGATAGAAAGAACAACGCAATTAAAAAAACAGTTTTAAAACATTATATTTTCAAGTGAAACTATAATCCACACATTTAATCGTTTATGTTGTTAACGGCTTAATTTGTCAGTAAACGGTTAAACTACCAACATCCGCCAAGGTTAACTCACGAATATTTGTGTTGTAAAATACATCGAAAACTATGTATAAATCGAACGGTAACACTTGCAACTATAACAATGTATAAATGTTTGTAAAACGGTCAGCATTTCGTTGAAAGTCAACAGTGTCTGGGTTGGGATTAACAACATTTTATAATTTAATATGCAAATCATACAACCATGAAACTGTTAAAACCTGGGATATAAAATATTACTCCTTATTCAGTTTCCAAAATCTTTGTTCGGCAAAATATATAAATATAAACACTATTCGGTCAAATTTTTATATATGTAGTTATTTATTTATAATATATATATGTATGTGTATGTGTGTGTGTGTGTCCGTGAAGACGATAACTTGAGTAAGTTTTGTTAGATTTTGATGACATTTGGTTTAGAGGTGTAAGGTGGAATAAACTTGAATGAGTTCGTGAACCAGCATGATCGGACGATGAGAACTCGGTTTTATGGGGAGGTTTATGGGGGTAAAAACTGGGTTTTATCATTTTTTACCATAAAAACACAAAATTCAATTTTTATAGACCTTTTTAAAAAGCTTAAAAAAAATAATGCAGTATATTTAAGTGTTTTTGTGCGGTTATTAGTTACGGAGATAGTTCAAAAAGTTGAAAATTTAGAATCGTAATCTTAGAAAAAGCTTCACTAATGGGAAAATAATATAATTATTTCATTTATTAACTCATTATTATACGAGAACTCAATTACTCATTATTTTTCAATTACTAGTAATGGCTTTGTTAGACATGACTGTTCTATAAACATTAAAACAATTTCTATAAGTATACTGGGTTTTGAACATATTCATTTATTTTAGCTACAAATGACTATTGTTCTTTTAGGCATGGTCCTATTAAAATCAATATGGCTATCTCTTGCAATTATGAACATTTTAAAACAGCTCTTAACTCTTTGGACGTATACACAAATAAAAAAAAAATTAATATATAACAATTCATAAATCATGATTTTACATCAACACTTTTCTTTGGAGAAGTACAACTTAAATTCACTGAGAGACATAAATATTTATGTTTCTGCACTTACACTCCAACTGAGTTATTTTGTACAAATAATTTAAATCGGGTCACTTAGATAACGTAAATGGACGTATAGTTCGAAGTTTAAGTTCGTATGGTGTAAACTTGATAGAAAAATCGCTTTTATTGATACTGAATTTCTTTTAACTAAGATCTAGATATTGGTGAAGGTATCACATATCCTTAGTCTTGTGACGACCCTTTGGTATGAGGACGAGTAGTAAAAAGGTTGAGGGTGATTTACAGAATAATAGGACAGATTCAGAACGAATGCAATTGTTTAAGGGTAAAACATGCTTAAACATCGGTTTCGATAGCCAAACATATTGGTACAAGGTCTATAAACATTAAATAACTACTGTTTCAATACATTAAAATAAAAATAAAGATAAAGTAATTTTGAAATATCTTCCTCCAATGTATTGTATTATACGAATTTGTAAGTTTTACTACCTAAATTAATAAGAGATTCAACCTGTTTCACACGAGGTATACATTGGTTAACGTGATAAAAGTTCTGAAATTGGGTTTTAACATACTTTGAGATAAAACAAGCCAACGTTGGGTTTTTTATTGACTAACTTTGGATTAATACAATACTTTTTTTACCGAAATGTTTACCAATGTAAGATTAGTGTCTGTGTTTAAAACCCTTCCTTAAGGTTAAGCAATTACAAACAGTATACAAATAAACCATATACTTTTATTATCCGTTATTGTTCATAATACATTTTTCTGATATGTTGTACGCTATAATCATTTAGTCATATCTGCTTAGTTTTAACACACAATTTTATATTTATTTAATTTTCCTTGCATTTTATAACAGATAACACAACCATAATCGGTTCAGCGAGGAATTGATAAATTAATAATTGTCCATAAAACCTTACTAAAAAAGGAAAATTTAAACTACAAATAATAACGTCTTTAAAAAAACATGTTTGCTTTACCCCTCCAGCAAATACAAATCGTAAGCAAACATAAGAACGAATCAACGTTCGATATTTACTCCTACACAACTCAGATTAAACAAAACAACAGTTTGTGATAACATTTTAGTGTCGCCTAATTTGTACCTGAATAAATACGAGAATAAACTGTCGCCACCAATACACGCGATTCACTTATTAATTTTGATATGACGGACGATTTCTTAAAAATAAAATTCAGGAGTAAAGAAATGCAGGATTTAATCCAAATGAAAAATGAGCGTGTGTTTTGGTCAAATAAAAAACAAGCAAACTTGATTACATTTCAAACAATTTTAAGTTATAGAAACAAACATTTTTTACAGCGAATAAAAATCATACTCTCGAAAATAGATTATCACATGATAAAATTGTATACCAACTATTATAAATGTATCTAAAATGTTTTTGCGAAATACATTCAACACACTAAAGAAATTGCTTACTGGGACTTTTGCAAAAAAATTATATTTACTTGATTTTTATTTAATATTGGTCCATTCAATTTCATAGGATGTTTTATTAAGTCCTTAATAATCCTTTAATGAGTCACTTGCTTAAACGGGTTTGAGCTTATACTATATCCCTGTTGATTTGCAACATTTTTACTAAAACATGGTTTGTAAGATAAATTGTTTGGTTGAGTAAACTAATACATTTTTATTGTTAATCATCTACTTAACGTAACCAATATATGTAAATATATATATACTTCCAATAAATGAGTTATTTAGTTATATTTTGTCCAAATGTTACTGAGTCTTACTATTGAGACAAATACATTAAAAATAATAGTTAATCGAATATTTCTTTTTATATCGGTTCATATTAGTTCTTTATTTTGTCAAAAGAGTGTTTCAATTAATGTTGTATGTCTTAACAGGTAGATTCTAAATACAGTTTCTTCTGTGTTATGAGACTTTCAAACTTTATATCACAGTTAGATAACTAGTTCCAATACCAGTGTTCGGCTGCAAATAAAGTTACACATTCCATTATTGTTGAAAGAATTTTTTTTTACTAGTAGGGGCCTACTTTTAGGTCGGAATCTATTAAGAAACCTTCAGTCACAGTATCATAAGGGAGGTAAAAGCTCAGTGTTTGACATGTCACAAGCCATTATCTATGGCCTCTTTTATGCACGACGTTTTCCGTCGGGCGGAATCTGTTAGGCGTTCCGTCGGGGAGTTTTTTTAACGTGGGATAAAATGGGACCATTTTATGCTAGATGGAATCTCCGTCGCGTTTCGGCGTTCCATCAGGGTCGGGCGGAGGACTTACGCTCCGCCGAGTTTTGGCGTTCCGTCGGGGCGTTTTTTACACATGATCAATTGGAACCCTTTTATGCCACGGCGTTTTCCGTCGGGCGGAATGCAGCGCTGCTAACCTACCCCGTGCTCTGTCGTACACAGTATCGAAACCATCTAACCATTGTAAATAGATGATCATTGTAATAAATCGAGGATACAGCTAAAGAAGTGATATAATTCCAAAACTGGAAAAATGCAAAACTGACGTGATAAAAATGTAAAACCTACATGTTGAGTATAATTAGGTTTACATTTTTGTTTAAATCCTCTGAATAATAACATAATTTCACAGCGCACAGTTTTACAGCAACGGTTTACTCGATAGTCTGCATAGTCTCTATAGTCATGCATGAAGTGGGGAGGCGCTCCTTCTCATACTTCGGAACTACCATGGATACTGCTCTCCCTGATCAAGTTAAGGACCTACTCTTTAAATACTTTTTTAAACAAGATATAGGAATATTTGTTTGGTAAAAGTATAAAAACCTTGACGCAGTTTTGACCTAATGTTTCGATTTTGTAATACAGCAATAACCTTATGGGTTACATCATTATAAAGGCATGAAATGGGAAGGTTTTTTACGTAATTTGACCAAACATCACATTAGTGTTAATAGTTGTAACACCACTTTGAAGTTGTAAAGAAGTAATTTACAAACTTCTTCATTTATGTTATGTGAGACATAAAACCATGAAAATATGGTTGTATGTTGAATGTGTTGCAATGGTTTTGTAGGAAATTTAACGTTCTTTTTATTGGTATAAGTTATTATGCTGTACGTGTATTGGCCTAATTTCTATGCTCGTTTTAGTGAAGCTACTACAGGTAATTAAAAAAATTCACATAATCGGCCATTACAGCCTATCGGTTGGGGTTGGAAAACTTTTGTTTGGTATTTTTTGTTCCTTTTAGTGAGTAATAACTGGTAAAAATTAACGCGCTTAGTAGAAACTCACCCTGTATGTTAAGTAAGGTTTTTTAACACAGTAGATTTGTTTGATTTTTTTATGAGTTTCCCTATAGGGTAGCAGCTATTTTTATTGTTTTAATAGATTGTTGGCATGGATTGTTTTACATTGTCTTCATAGATTGTTTATATATTGTTTTATAGTTCGTTTTTATGGATAGTAGATTAGTGTTAAGGAGAAGAGTTGTTTTGAAAGCCCGAATAATTGTACCTGAAAAACGTTTGCTGAATCAATACCTTTTTATTTAATATTTATTAAAACATATCCTTAATGTTTATACTACGAACCGTTGTCTACCGTAACACCGCCCACCACCGCGCCGCCGTTCCAAACGCTTCTGCTGTGCTGTAAGCTGTAAGCTGTTCCTGTTGTCGTCTGCACCGCACGGCATGTTGTTATGGTTCCAGTAAATAGATACAATGTATTAATGTAAATAAATGTAAATTAAAGAATGTTAAAATATAGTAAACCTATATTTTGGATTATAAGAAATATATTTTAAGAACATCATTAGATAACATAAGGTATGTTACTATTTATAAAATGCTCATGGCTCTATATATTTTTATTGTAGAAATAACATGGCTTCTTTATGGGTTTTGCTTATTGTAATTATGTTTATCTTAATTATGTGAGTCAATTACGCAAATTTTGGTTAGATATTGTGTTGAATTTGGATGCAAAGAAACGTACAATAAAGGAAATGGGATCCAGTTTTACAAGTAAGTTTTAAATAATTACTTACTGTATCAAGAAATGTCGCTAACTTAGGCCTATAGACTGGTCAGGGCTTCAGATAACATCTTACTGTTTAAAATCAGAAGTGCATTTTAATTTGAACTATTAATTAACTGAATCGAATAAATTCTTGTATTTTTATTTTGGTAACCATACCTACTAGCCATGCTACTATACATGCTACTAACTTAGCCTATACTCGTACCTATACTGACAAGTAGTAGCGTCAGCTCCATTTATCAATCATAGGCCCTTCATAGCTATTTTGCCATTATCATTGACTATTGCTATTATTTACATTTCCAGGTATAGGTGTTGAACTACAATGTATGTGGATTTATGGAAACTTAAGTCTAAAGGTTACTGTGAATTAAGTTAAACTATTTTGTAACTATTTCAGATTTCTATTAACTCGCCCAAAGCTGTTGAAATCCTGGGAAAAGGCTGTCAAAAGAAAAAATCGGAAAGAAACTGTTTAGTATTGATTCTTTGCAGTAAACATTTATCTGATGGCACAACGATGAAGTTTAAGTTAAGTTAGATAAGACTTGGAGCACTTGTCAAGCTCCTTAAAGATGACGCTGTGCTCACCGATTATGTACAGCAGTTCAGAAAAAAAAAACGCCGCCGTGGACAACTTTTCTATGGATAGCCTGATATTGTTGAGGTAAGATCTTTTACATCTTAAATACATATTAAGTTAAGGTTTTAACATAATAACATAATGATCATAATAAACCTAACCTAACTCTGCAAAGCGCTGTACAGTGACATTTCAGGGGGTTACAGAAAAAATAAGGCCTAGGTTGTTTGACAGTGACTGACTGACCATTTGAAATGTAATCGTTGCCAGTGGTCGTGCCCCCGTCTGGTATTACTTCACCAGAGAAGCATAAATAAGGCCTAGGTTGTTTGACAGTGACTGACTGACCATTTGAAATGTAATCGTTGCCAGTGGTCGTGCCCCCGTCTGGTATTACTTCACCAGAGAAGCATTCCATCTTTAACCCTTAGAGTGTTAAGCGTCGTGTAATCGACGCACAACACACCCGCCGTGGTGTTATGCATCGCTTTTGCTACACACAAGCATCGTTTACGGCAAAGGCTCTGAGACCGACTGAATCAGATTGAACTGGATCGAGATTGGTATCGTTGTTTTCAGCAGATTCTAAGCTTTCTCCTGATGTCTGTTTCTAGACGCTTTTCATTTTAGTTCCGAATATATTGTAGCAGACAGATGACTTGCATATTTGTAAACAACTTGGTTAACATCGCACCGATGACTGATGTGTTTTATTACGTTTATCATTGTTTTAGTGTTAAAAATAAAATTTTGTGAGATACGTGGTGCATTATAAGAAGATTTAAGTGATTTTGAAGGGCTGGTTGATGATCCTGAAGAAGTTGGTAGTGATATTGATGTAAATCATCCGCCAGATTCCTAGCTATGGTTAGGCTAGCTAACGCTAAATGTACGAAATCTGTTTTTCACCCATAACTTATTTATTTGCAAACCTACTTCCTTATATTACGGTACTATATTTTTGGAATCCTCATAAAATTTTGAACAAAGTGGCTATTTAAAAAAATTTGTAGACCTATGAATTATAAACATTTATTGAGTGCAAACATAAAATTGTTTTATTTATTTTATAATTTTTGAGAAATAACTTTATAACCTCACAAAAATGTTAGAAAATTTTTTTTGTAATGTTTTATATATAACATTGAAGCCCATAATTTTCCAAACAATATGAGTAGTGGTGAACCCAGAAAGATAAGTCACTTTAGGCGTTTTTTCCCATAAGAATAACATGGGGATCATTTTTTGGCCACCAAAACCAAAAATCCTGATCTTTGCCTAAATATCCCTATAAAATTGTTAAACCTTATTTCTTACTTATTCCCCATAAATATATTTGATATCAAGCTAAAAAAGCTATTTCTTATATTTATTTACCCTTACAAGTGTAAATGTAGAGTAGATATAATATAGCAATATGACCCCACTTTAGGCACGTTTTCCCCATAACAATAACATGGTGAGCTTTTTTTGACCACTTTTTTAAAAATCCAGCTCTTGGCCAATACAAGCCTATATAAATGTTCAATACCATTGTACAACTCCATTACTATTTCAAATCCATATCTATTCACATGTATATTCTCAAAATCATCAACTTGACAGTGCGAGGTTTGCACGTGAACTCGGGCGCGCTCCCGGCTCATGGCATGGGTGTGCTTCCGGCCGTGTGCGCGCTCCCTTGGACATCCTTTGTGGAAATCCATGAGTTCTGGCTACTTGGGAATCCAAGCCATTTGACATACAATGAATTACCCTTTCTCCTAATTACCTTCTCTACCAAATACATGTCCTTATACTTGGTCTTTAACAACTCCTCTGTATAGAAGCCTCCCCTGAGTATATTGCCATTTTCATCTTTCAAGATATAAGTTACAGGCTTTGTATTCTTAACTTCTGCTATTGTAAATAGTTCCCCTGTCCAATTTGGAGTATAACCTTTACTAAAAACATGTTTATACTTGGAAATCCTTACGCTATCACCTACCTTATATCTTGGCTTTTTAACTTGCACTACTTTAGAAGTCAACTTCTCATGCACATATTTACTATTCTTAACATTCACTTGGTTAGGCTTCATTCCTATAGATCTATGCACCTTATTATTATATTTTCGAATTAACTTTGGAAGTAAATCCAACCATTTATAACTCCCCTGAGCACTAAATTCCCTATATAACCAATTCTTTAAAGTTCTCTGAAACCTCTCTACAATTGCAGCCTTAGTTGTAGAAAATGTGTGATAGTGATTAATATTTAATTTCTTCATTAGTTTGCTAAAATATTGATTAAAAAATTCTTTTCCATTGTCAGATTGAATGTTTTTAACCCCCTTTGGTAGAATGGTTTTAATGGCTTCTGTAACCACTAACCCTGTCTTATTCTTTAGTGGAGCAGCATAAGCTTTTTTAGAAAATGCATCTATTAAAGTTAAAATATATTTATTGCCAGAATTTTCTCTAGCATAGTTTTGCATATCAATTAAATCTATTTGTAAGGTTTCGTTTATACCCAATACTTTAAAAGACCTTCTAATGAAATTCTTTCTTGCAGGCTTATGAAGTTCGTATGCAATTTCATTCATTTTTTATAACATCATCCTTTCCTGTAACTCTAAATACATCACCATTAGCCCCAATCAATAGATTATCTTCCATTCTTTTAAATACATAGTTTTCTGGTATATATGGTCTATTATCTATATACTTAAATCCGCTCAAAGATGTGGGGTCAGCAACTAATAAATCAGGATTGTATTCCATCAAATTAAATTTTCTTCCTGCATATACAAATTTTGATCCATCATAATACATAGCTTGTGACATCAAACAAATATCATCTAAATATTCCCCCATTGGTAGATTTCTTATATATTGTTTTTTGGCATCCCAACATTTTTCTTTTTTATCAAAAGTTATAGTCTGTTCTTTTGTAACACAGTCAGTGTCATCAATGGCAGGTTTAACACATACTAACCTTTTATTATTAAAATCCCAATAGCCTGCTTCCATTTTTGGAACTTGTGAAACATTCACAGCATCTTTACTATCTGTACCTTCCATCAAATTGCTAAGTTTCTGTTTCTTAGCATTCCAAACACCATTCTCTGATTCTAAAAATTCATAATTATTATCGTCTTGTACAAATTTACCATCTTCTTTTCGTATTAAAGTCTGTTGTAAAGTGGGCACATCATTTAAACTTTCACCCTTTTCCACATTAGTAATTTTCCGTTTCTTAGCATTCCAAACACCATTCTCTGATTCTAAAAATTCATAATTATTATTGTCTTGTACAAATGTACCACCATCTGTTCGTATTAAAGTCTGTTGTAAAGTGGGCACATCATCTAAACTTACACCCTTTTCCACATTAATAATTTTCTGTTTTTTAGCATTCCAATTTTTATTCTTAGATTCTAAAAACTCATATTTAGTTTTACCTTGTAAAAATACATCACCTTTTCTAGTTAATGTCTGTCCTAAAGTTGATACATCATCTACAAACTCTCCATCTTTAACATTACCAATTTTACGGTTAAAACAATTCCAACTATCATCTTGTAAATTTAAAGTAGGTTCACTACTAGCCCTGGGTTCTGCAGGCTTATTATATGGATTATATAAACGATAAAATTTATCTATAAACATATTTTTATTTAATAAATAATTCCACTTTCTCTCAATTCCTCAATAATGGAATCTATTTCATTATCCACTCCCGAGTTACCAGCTTGGCGACTTAGCCATAGAAGTCTTAACCTATCTACAAGCTCATTAGGATCATCCCAATAAATATAGTCTATTTTATTACCAGTCACTTGCCTCAAACCTTCACCAACAGATTTAAATAGAGGTTTAATTATATTAAGATATTTAGTATGTTTATTACTTGACATTGGTGCACCATCTTTGTAACTCTTTAAATGTCCATTGGTAGCTTCCAAAATCTCTTTATAATTTTGCAAATCAACCTGAGTATAATCCTCAGGTTCTTTTAAAGTTAACAATTGCCACAAACCTTTTGTCCCCTTGTAGGTTTTATTTGCAATTGTAACATCATCATTGGCAATATCAACTTCCTTATTTCCAATAAAAAATTTATTTGCTTCTCGTCTAATACCATATGTAGTGTCTGTCATACTACTTTTACTGAGGTAATTTCCTAAATAGTCTGATGCTAAAAGTCCAAAATCTAATTTCTGTGGGGTGGATTGCTGTAATGGTTGTAATGGTTGTAATCTTGGTATTATTGGTATTCTAGATGGAGTCATTGGGAGAATCTCCATTCGAGGCCTCTCTGTTTTACCAATAGATGCGATTTTCTTTAATTCTTGTAATGGCTCTATTAAAGGTTGGAATGTTTGGAACCTCTCTTCAGCCTCTAGAAACTTGCCACGTTTTAAAGCTCTATATTTCTCTCGTATTTGATTTGCAGAGTCAACCAATTCTTGTTGAATGTTTTTCATCTTTTATTTACATTTTATTTATCTCATTTGACAAAGGATTGTACTCAAACACTTTATCATGTATTATCAAACAATATGCAGATGTATTTGCTGGCACATTTTCTGCAGTTTCAATCTCTAATTTAATATCAACAATTCCTTCCTTCACTGTTTCGTTCTGTCTAGAACAGTCTATTACAATTAGTGGATATTTCTTCATAAACTCAGCCCTACTAATCATAGGATCTGGGATAGTATTATAGTAAGTCTCTCTAAACCTCATAAACATCTCATAAGCTTTAGAGACATCTCCATTTTCAAAGTCGAGATTTAAATCACTATAAGGATAATATTCAGAGTTTAGAAATACTTTGAGATTTTTTAACTTACAGTGATCAAATTCATCAGTTCTTTTTCGTGCACTATTATCCCTAGCTGTTTGGAAACCAAATATAATATACCTAGGCTTCTCCAAACTTGAAGATGTCTTTACTGACCATGTATGTCTTGTAGTATTGGGATATGATGGAAGTTCATGCAACTCTAAGCTTCTAAATGCAATTTGCAAATTTTTATTTTGCAGTAACATCTTTTGTAATTGTAACTTCTCCCCATCTGATGGTATTACATGTGGCAT